TTGTTGTTGCGTTGGCACCATGCTTGTTTTCAAGCCGGTGGTAAATATATATAATATATAGGCAGCTTTGCTGTCGTCCAGTGCAATACCACGCCTAACCTATCGGGGCCTTATGTGGTTTGCCACTCCAAGTCCTGGGGCTTAAGTTACCGGTTTCTACCACTGAATAGCAGGTCCTCGTGACTATGGAGTTCGCCCCGTCTACTGTTCATCACACTTAGGTGTGTAATAAAAAAATTGAGAGGAACAAATGTAATAAAAATCAGGATGTTGCACGAGTTTGGACAAGAAACCTGAACAACAGGCATGATGAAATCCACAATCATGAAAACAAAAGGCTACACGAGAATCCTGATCACTAGAACAGTTGTAGCTATTATCGGTTTGATCAGCTGGAATGATGAGCGAGCGATCGAGGCAAAGTTTTGTCTGATTCTCACAGTCAATAAGAACATTGTGGTGCTGACTGACTGGTTCGACAATGAACCTGTTTTATATGCTGCGAATAATATGCATATTACTAAACACAACAGATAATTATTCGAGTCTCTCAACATAGTCACAAACTCAATATAGTCTACTCATAATAAATAGCTAGTGCTAATATGAGTCCAACACCAAGCATTGTAAAATTTCAGTAACAAGCAGAAGGAAATGCAATTTATTATCGAAGTGCATCAGGGAATCTGTGCATCGAGTTGGTATGCCAGGCGTAAATCACCCCAGTATGTATTCAGGATGTCCCATTGAGCTCTCCAGTTACACCCAGTTAGGTAACTCCATAAACATAGGTTCAAAATCATCTGACGGAGTCTAATGGAGATAAAAGAACTGAAAACTGAATAAAAACCCTCGAACTGCTCGGAGTTTGTTTGACTGGACCGGGGATTAACAAAACAATTCAAACACCGTGCAAAGTCAGTTCTGCTCTAAAATCATCACAAATAGCGCAAGGTGGTTCAGGATCACTTTATCAGATCACATCTAGATGCATACTACATTAGCTAATTGTAGACTACATATTATGCTGACCCCAATGTCAGAACCCAACTTTTTACGTTGAATGAGCTGCAATGGAAGAAACGCAAGTATGAATATCCAAGTTGGTGTCAAGCGCAATCTTGGGTGGAATAGACAGTGAGTGTACACCACAGTTGCTATCCGAACCAGGGCAACATGATCAAAAAGCAGACGTGAGAATATCAGTCATCACTTAGAAATTAACGCGTCAGCTGACCGCAATATGTTTGTCATCTTTGTACAGTTAGCAAGACGGAATCCAGATGAGCGAACTCCATAACAGAATTCAAAAGTAAAACATCTAATCACTGGCTAAGGATTTAAAATAATGAACTGAGAAATTTCTCAACGGGGTTGTGTCACTAAAACTATGAACGTGTTGAGGAGGCGGTCAAGTTTCCTCCCCTTTCTCTAACGGCTTTTATACCGCTACTACTTTTCAGAAAAATAGCCTATTTTTGAGTTATTTTGTTTTATTTGAATACAAATTTGGAAGTACCATAATGCGTTCAATGAAAACGTTTTATGGTAGTTCACTTCCAAGATTATATGAACACCAATGTTTCCAGGAAAATTTGGTATGATGGTGTCGTACCTTTTAACCGCCAGGCTAATTCGTGTATCACCTTGTTTCGTAGAGTTGGTAGGCGTGTAAGACCCCTGACAAGCTGTCATCCATTTTGAGTGAGTTGTATTCATGTCTCCCTGAACATTTGGGTATATGGTGTTTGTATATTTCCTCTCTAGCAGATTGTCAATTAACCCCTGTCTCCAGCATCCAATTACGCAGGAATGTCTTGCTGCACGCTCGAGCCGAATCAGAATATAGATTTTTTTCGAATCGATTATTGTAGCTACTAGCCGGGGCTTTGAAAGTGTTTTGAACTAAGTTGTGCATATGAGATATCTTTTGTGATTATGGACATGGTCTAGAGGAAATCGGAGACTTTTGTATCATTCCTCACTTTTGGTTTGATCGCCCTGCTGTATGCTCTTTCTCTGTGACAGACTTGTGGTGTAATTAGTGTTGCCGTTCGGCGACGTCACGTGCTAATCTACCTGTATTTCAGTACAGCCGCTAATGACAGAATCACTCCCCTAGACTATTGATAAAGGCCCTATCTATGGTCGGTCAGCAATTCAAGTGTAATCGTTAAAATGCATATGGAGATCAGTTTCAATTTGTACAACCATTAACCATAAAAGTTTGTGCATCGGATTTGGTTGCTGTATATTGGTTACTCATTGGAAACACGCAGATGGAACAATATGGAACTTATCAAAATGCATCCGAAATTATAAAATTCCGTCCTTTGAAAGAAGAAATGAAGCTGTGCTATTATCCTGTCTAATTCAGACTGCAAAACGCAAAACTCGGCGATGCGACGGAGTGAACCATATAAATGAGGCGATAGACAAACGTAACTAAGCTTGACACTAAGCATGCCTGTACTTGGTACTTTGTTGGCACTGAACGAAGACGCTAATTTGATAAAACCGAACATTCAAGGTACGAAAAGTGATAAAAAATGAAATGGACAAAGAAATAAAACATGAAAACTTACTTCAGAAATCATTTGTTGTTTGGCAGCAGCACTTGCTGCTGCAGCCACCATGGCAGCAGCTGCCGCTGCACTAGTCATTGTAACTGCCGTATTCGGAGAAAGACCGGTTCGCTCATTTGGCTCAGACAGTGGCGGGTTTGATAGAACTGGTGCCGTTGTAGAACCAACCGAAGATTGTGACTGTGTTCGAGCGGTTTCGGCACACACCTCATTCAAGGGACTAGCAGCGGTTGCATGAGATTTGTTCACCGATAAACAAGCAGCGGCTGTTGACCGAGGGGGCAACTTCAACTGTTGCTTGGACATGTGAAAGAATTTAGCGGATCCGGTAACCGCCGCGGTGGCTGCGACCGCTGCTGCAGCGACTGCATGTGCCGCGGATGCGACTGTTGTGGCCACGCTGTTCAAATAGATGAGAATATATGCGGAATAATAAGGACCAAAGGAAGTTCGATTATACTTACTGCACAGCGAAAAACGAAACAATAATGAAAGTTAGGACAAACGGAGAAATTTGGAGACGTGATATTTGAAGAAGAACTGAAATGAAAAATTACCACAAATATCAACTCGGCTTTGCCAGCGTCAGAACTAAGAAAACAAGTTAATCGAAACTGAGTACCTCAAATTTCCGAATTGCTCATTTTATACATGTAAACAGATATCACATCGGCTTGGGGACGACGGTGCCATGCTTACTTAAATCTTTGGTTGACTGAAACTAGCTGAGTAGAAATCCAACAAGTACTATCAATTTTCACCAATTAAATACCGAGGATATTACAGCGAATGGCATTCCACTTTAAATTTTTCTCAGCAACTCGAAATGTTGATGCCCTGTTGGGATGTACTATACAATGAGAACAGCAGACGACCGAATTCTACCTACCCCGTCAAATAAGCCATAAAATTTTATCATACACCTAAGTGTGATGAAAGACAAAGAGGGTGAATTGCTTGGTTTCGACCGTTTACCGCCGAACCATATAAGGCTAAAACGGGATAAGTGAAGAAAGCGCGGACGGCGGAGAATAATTTGATCAACAGAGCGACGATCTGGTAGAACTTTGTGTAGTAGACTGTTTTCAAAGGCTTAGGTGTTTAGGGAAGAAAACATTTGGACGATGATCGGAGTGGATCTTTCGTTGCGTGATCCCTTCGTAAAAATAGGAGTGATCAATGGTACACCCAAAGACCATGAACTACAATCCTCGGATCAGGCGTGCCATGAAAAACCGATCGAATCTAGAGAATAATCACTTTCAGAAAGTGAATATTTTCGAATTCTGATTCACATCCAACTCTCGGCTTGTAGTCATAGAGACACCTATTTCTGTCTCTTATTCACAAAGAGGTTGGCCTAACTTGATATTGGACATACCCTATATTCAGAGGCTAGCCCTCCTATTATCCCGATTCATCTGTTGCAGAATGGAGCCCATTCTTCGCTGCTGGTATATTCATTCCCTTCGATCTCATTTTCTTAAAAGACACCGTTTATCTCGTTACATAACCGCGTGACTCCCCCCATCCCGATAACCACCGTTTCGTTTCTTTCACTTCTATCTTTTAGAAAGTTATGGAAATCACCACTGTTGATCAACTTTATTTGAACTTCGAAAGTAAGGGAACAAGGAAGTAATCCTTCAATATAAATTCCGATGATGATTTACTAGCACCAATTTTTCGTCATTAGTCAACTTCACATGCGATTCACAGCGAATCACATCAGTTTGTGCCAGGCATCTCAACAGCTTTCGATTGTACCCGGAAATTGATCATGTTTGAATTTCTAACGGCACTTATGCCGTGCATTTTAAGCTTCTTTTCTGATGGGTCACAATCACTGACCTAACTTCGAAAGAAATTAAAGGTTGATCATTAAACAAATAGTTCATAACAGATCGATATCAGGCTGATAAAACGATGCGACCTAGTAGGAAGCAAGCACGTAGCTTGTGGTTTAAGCACTTAGTCAATTCGTTCGACTGATATTTTAAATACAACAGTGGAATGCGGGGAAATAAAGAAATTTAACTGGACAGAAATTCGGGTTGTTCTTACCTTGACCAAGAATTCGATTTGGGAGGGTATGACAAGCAGTTGGATATTTGAGCTTCAGAACACAGTTGTGAGGCGGAAACGGCATCATTAATGATTCGTTCTGTCGCACTGGATGACATATCTCGAGAAACCATAGACGAATCCCCATCTGGGGCAGAATTATTACCCCGCGGACTGTCAACTTTGTTGTCAGTAGCACCGCTAAAAACGTCGGATGTCAAACAATCTTGAGCGTTACTCAGCCGTCCAGTTTCCCGAGGTTCGACTAAGGATTGTGAGTTCTGCACCAAAGCGCGATGGTTACGACACATAAAATCGCCCAGCATAGCGGCCATAGAAGAAGGTGAAGAACTTCTGGTACCGATTGGTTGTGAAAATATGGCACCTACAGAAAAAGGAGGTGCACGAATTAAGTACTTGATAACAATAAATTCAGGAAAGAACCTGCGCGCAACTTAAAAGAATTAGGAGAAACCCGAAATAAAGTACAAACAGGTTACTGTGCTTATTTGCTGGTTTAAACGGGAATTAGTTAACTGCACTAGTGAACAGATGCAAATCACCGTTACTGAGCCGACAAATAGTACAAATCCTTGCTCGGTACCATTATTTTCGTATGACGAAGAACAATATTCAGAATGGTAGCGATAAATCAAACAGAAAATCGAACAGAAAAACCAGAGATAACTGATGGAAGTATGACTAATTAGAGCCACATTTTGAAAGCCGATCAGCCGATCTAGGAAAAATATCACGCGATAAGTACATCGATAATTACGTGCCCACTTGATTCTCCGGACGCACTGAATAGACACTTCTGAGTTACGTAACAATTTTGTAGCGCAGGCATTTAAGTGGAAAACCACTCAGACCAGTAGTTAACTTCATAAAGACGTGTACACCTAGTCAGGACAGGCTACAACTGAAAACTGTGAACCTTTCCAATTGTGGCAGTGGTCACCGGTTCATCATCATCATTTTACAGCATAATACAGTGAAGCGAACTTCACCGATTGCTGTCAAACTCATCTTGCATACAAGGTAAGTGATAATGTTTAGGGAGGACAGGGATTGGACTTAATTTTGGGGACGGGAAAAGAAGGCGAACATCTATGGACAACAAACAGAGTGCACAATCCAGCTGTGCATACATACTATTTCAAGTACTCTGGTCTGCTAAGAAGTGACAGCATGATTGCCATTGCTGTCGGTTCACAGACAATATCTTTAGTGCCTCCAACCTTGCGGTTTCGGAGCCTTTTGGATAAAAACCCGGAAGCCGAGAGGCACCTATTCTACCTAAATGCTCTGTGCATTACTTCATGCCTCGTCTCCACGTACCTTTCTCCAGTCTGCAAATAAGACGCGCTGCGGTAGGTGATCGTCGGACGTACGCAAAAGATGACCTAAGCAACCGAGCCTATTGAGCTGGATTCGGTGCGATAACGAAGTTTTGTTCGATGCACTCCCAAACACCCGAACTAACCCGCTCACTCCATCCCACTTGGGTCAGACTACGCAAGCATCGATTGTCAAACATTGCTTAACGACGGATGTCTTGTACCCGCAAGTTCAGGATCTCACAACCGTAAAGCAGAGCTGAACGAATGTTGTCACAATACACACGACCTTTCAACTTCAGTGAAACGTCACGTCGCCGCCGCAGGTGTTTTAGTCCTGTATACGCTGCTCGAGCCTTGGAAATGCAGACGGTTGTCTTTGATGCGCTACCGTCGTTGGTCACGCAGCTACCCAAGTACGAGAAGTAGTCAACTTCAGCCAATTCCTGACCGTCTAGTTTCAGATCGGAACTCAGCGACACCCAGTCTTGAAGCATCACTGTGCACTTTGAAGGTGCAAAGCATATACCGAATGTGGCAGCATTCTGTCAAGAGCGCTTTGCACGTCCTCTGTACATTCGAAGAGACAGACGGTTTCATCGACGTACTCTAACTCGCACAGCTTTTCTCCAGCTGCCCGTTCCGTACCTACGTCTTGGAGACCACTTAGTGTGTTCTCCGGTGCTTCGTTTGCGACGAAATTGAACAGGTATGGCGAAATAGGGCACCCTTGACGAACATTGCTGCTAGTTACGAACAACCTACTCAGCTCGCCTTAGACCCTCACGCCACCAGGAGTATGCGAGTAGAGTGAACGCAGTATGTTCACGAACTTCTGCGGCATTCTTTTGCGAAGGATCGAACCCATGAGGGATTTGCGGTCAACTCAGTCGAAGACTCCTTTTAGGTCAAGGAACACAACAACAACTGGTCGACGGTGCGTATGGCGTAGCTCGAGGACTTGACGCAGAGTGGAGATTTGATCGATACACCCGCGGCCTGGTCGGAATCGCTTGTTGTTCGCGGACGTCGAAGTATGATTAAGGCTAGTAGATTGCTGACGATTGGGATCAAACTTATTCCATGGTGGTTTGCGCAGTTGTTGCGAGATCCCTTCTTAAAAATGGGAACAATCAATGATTCGCTCCAGGATGATGGAAAGCTAATGTGATCAGATGTTATGTATTAGATCATTAATGGAGTCTACGAGGTCGCCTCCTCCCAGAGAGTGGGGAGAAGCTCGTCCGGTCCTGCTGCGTCTCCGTCCGTCAGGGCTTGGGTGCATGATCGAACTTCTGCTGGAGTAGGAGGTTCACATGACACTTCCCATAGAGCCGCAACTGCAACAGACGATATAGTCTGGTTAGCACCTGGTCAGCTGAACTGTTCGTTGAAGTACTCCGCTCACCGGTCAAGCCGTTGTTTCCTAATGTGAATAGCTTATCCACTTTTGTTTCACTAACTGTGGTTCACCGACATCCCGTGTAGCGTATCAGTTGGAACAGCCTTTGACTATTCCCTGATGCAGCTGAGATCTCCATTTCACTAGCTATCGTTGCCCACCAGTTATCACGATCTTTCTTGAGGCTCTTTTTGAGTTGTAGTTGCAGACACCACTTACCCCTGCTTTGATCCCGGGCGGTTGGAATTCGTCGCTTTTTCTCCACCAGTGCTACTAATTGATCAGATATTCAATGCCTCGGGCGGGCTACCGCATCAGATCCACAAGCAACCTTCGCTACGGAGTGCATTGCTCGTCTAATCTGATCCCAGTGTTCATCTACACTACCACCCCGCCGAGTGGTTAGCTCTTGCTCTAGTTCGGATTTAAAACAGGCGCGAACGGCTGGGTCAGATAAACGATGATCTGCCAACCGTGTTTGGTGGTTCTTTTGTGACCAGTGAGTTGGAGAGTGAACTGCATCAAAACTAATGCATGATCAGATTCAACGCAGGTGGTCCAATAGGACCTGCAGTTTTGTACTGAGCCATGCCAACGGTAGCTTACTGCTATGTGGTCGATTTGAGTTAGCATGCCAATTGAATTTGAGCACCACGTTGCTGTCCGGTGAGAGCTGTGACGGAAGTTGGTGCTGGATGGGAACAGATGATGATCTGCGCAGAACTGAAGAAGTTGATCGCCATTATCTGTCCGTTGGCAGGGCAGAGCTCAATGACCGCCTAGACAAGCTTCCGATGCGCGTTTTCCGACTTCAGCGTTAAAATCACCTGCGAGAACAACTATGTTGGAGCTTAGACTCAACCGTATGAGTCACCGGCTCAACTGGGCATCGAGGTGTATTGGGCAGCTTGGACGTTTGAACCCGTCCAAAGGGGCGTATGATTCAACGAACTGTACACCGGCCCTTAATGGATTGCGGTTTACACTCACCGCCCCGCTGCCTTACAGGCTTTGGCTAGCTAAAGGCTCCGGTTGTGGATCCCTCATAAAAATTCATCTGCCTTGACCTGGGCAACCTGGCAGTATTCAGCCCACATGCAAACCATGGAATGTCTTCCTTTTTCATAAAGATTATTGTACCATGATTTGCTTGGCACACAGTTTGGATTCAGACGTATATATATATCCCGTGCTGTAGCAAACAATTTGGTGACATGTCCCAACTTCAATAGTTTATCGAGGTCGACAAGTTGTTACAATGGACGACCGCGAATATCTGATACCCTGCTTCTGATATCAGCCTTGCTTGTAGGGTTTCCCGGACGGTACGCTTTTCGGGATCGGTCCTTAGCCTCATGCACTCAAGGAGACAAGCGGGGTGTGGAAGGGACAGACTCTTATTGGCTGGGATCTGCCAAACTTGAGCGGACGGTAGCTGTCACATGAAGTACGAAGACTTCTCCCGCCGTCAAAGGGGAAGCCCCAGGTACCCCGCTCATACGTCTATTTAGAAGAATTTTTAACGGGTAAACTGCCCCTCCCCGAGTTTATTTGTTGTAGTGACCTCTTCAGGGGCGAGCATGGATGGTCAAAGTAAGCCAGGTGTAAAAACAGATGGCCTTGTTGGACTGAGCTTTGTTTGGTCACTACCTATTGATGTTTCAGACATGATTGGATCTGCGGCTTTGAGCCAAGGTGCATAGCTCGCAGTCTCAAAGAGGCGCGCAAGCCATCACACCACGTCAAGGTGCAGTCTCGTCGTGATGGCCTCTTCATCGAACATACCTTAGTTCATCTTGTTGTTCCTATCCGAGTAATATGTAAGCATGTTAGATTACGAAATTTATCCAAATACAAAGGATCAGAAATACTTGATTAATGCAATTGTGCCGAAATTCAATAACCAAAGTGTACTCACGAACAGAGGGAATGGGTACCCCTGGTTGGAACGGAAAATTGGTCTAGTGGTTGAGGCTGACTAGCTGGAATCCGTCTAACCACAAAACTCCTAGAGCTCAGTCATAGTCATATCAGTAGGACTTTGCAGACAACAGGGTTCCAACAGTGATGGTTTTTAAGTGAGATTCAAAAGCTTTCGCAAATACGAATGTGGAACTTAGCCGAATCTGTAGAAAATGATCACATGATATCAACGGGCAGAAAACATTTCCGTATATGTAGCGGAACTTTGCGTGCGATATAATCGCTAAATGACAAACAGAAGGTATACAGTGAACTCAGTAAACGCTTTGGACAGGGACGCGATCAGGATAATGACTCCATGAGTTCAGATATCAAGGCTTGTTCGACCTCTCTCATCAACCAGTATAATTACCGAATCACGTCAGCAACTAAGCGTTAACTCACTTAAGAGAACAGATCACCGGTTTTATCCAATATCATGTACACATTGCCTTTAAAGTAAGCAAGACGTCAGTTCCTTGCCAAAAAATAACCATGGAAGTTCATGCTCATCCGTTAAACCACTTAAGGTTGTGGGACTATTCTCTGGACTATATTCGTGTGTTTTTCTACTACTGAGTCCTTACTTTCCAGATTTTCCAGCAAGCTACCGAATTCAAAAAGCGATCTGAAAAGCCACGAGAAAGACATCCGTTCTTATGACTGAGCTTTCGTCAGCAAGGTGTACGATACAAGGTTCGGAACCCCGCCGCCGTCAGTCCAACTTGACGATAGAAAGCTTCATTTTATGCCTAACCTATTAGAATCTTCTAGTTTTCTATACCAAGTTTTCGAGTTGGTTAACTGATGTCTCATACCAAAAACTGTTTTCATGACAATGGGATTGACTTTTCTACTGTTCGTTGCACTTTGTTACCTTTGAAAAACAATGCAGTTTTAATGTGCATAAAAACATGCCATTATGAAGGACGAATTGAAGAAGCGATAAAATTTAATGGCAAATATAGGGACGGTTAATTTTCAAACAATGAGTAACAGAAAAACGACCTGCTTCGGAATTTTTCATGGGTATCTTTTATTAAAGAAAAATTGAAAGAGATGAAAAGCTTCTACCGGATCGCATAATGAACGGAGGACTTGTGAACAAAAGGCGGGGAACGAAAACATGCGCAAGGAAAAATGGTGCTAAAAATGAATGTATTGGCTTTGTGACATTACGATTACAACCTCAAATTCATATTAGGAAAAGAATGAACTCTGAATACTGGACACTCACCGATACATGCTGCCGCGGCTACAGCAGCAGCAGTTTTGGCACTTTCGTCTTCTGGGTAGTGAGCCGATAAGTGGCTACTTTGGTTTGGGACAGAGAATGTGTGAGACTTTGTGGTTGTATTGGTGGTAGTTGTGCTATTGCAAGATGAACTTGGCGAACCGCCCTGATCAAGTTGTATTTCACCTGCACCGCCACCTAACGGGCGATACTCTGAAGCCTCCTGTGGAGATGATAACTCGTTGCCTGCCATTTCCATGTCGAGTAAAGGGTTTGCAGGTGAAATGCAACGCTGAAACAGACATAAAGTGGACATAAAACTCTCGTACTAACTACGTTTTTAGTTTGAGGAAAATTCACCATAGCTCTCTAGCTTTACCAAGCCTATAGGAAAATCGTGGGACAGCTGAATAACTCATCCCGAAAAAAAGGATCACGGCTACCGGCAGTTTGGGCGAACAAAAAATTCTTGTCCGAGTTAACCGGAAGCGCCAAAAAATATAAATTATCAAGAAATGTATCCATATGGCATAGGGCCTTCAATACTCCCGAAATATAACACTTCACAATGCACAGCATAAGAATCGAACACAAAAATCATCCAGATCCACAGTTGGGTGAAGAGTGTGAATACTGAACCCCGAATAATTAACTGCGTAACACCTTGATGGGAAGGTTGGATGACAGTCAATCTATCCACGTCCAAATAAGGATAGTATTTGTCGGGATTCAGAGGACGATGAAGTAGATCCCTCAGGATAGCTACTAAGGGCTACTTTGATCTACAATGAATATTACTAAACATCACTTAACTAATATTACGACGAGACTGCACATTGATGTGGTATGATGGCATGTGCACCTCCCTGCCCAACGAGCTACACAGGCTGAATGCGGGAACAAAAGCGGATCTGATCAGGTACTAGTTCGCGCGAAAGTTAGACTCCATCTAACAACTCTCAGGAGGACCGTCCCTCTAAAAGGCCGAAATGTGCTTCCACTGGAGAACAGCGAGAAATGCCAGACACATGGGAATGATAACTGCACAGCTGTCAAACGATCCCCTCGGTACGCATGGAAACACAGAGAGTTCGGTTGAAATTCAGTGGACCAGGATGAAGTCGTCGGTACAACAAGCTGCTCCACACGCACTAGGCACTTGATCACGTCTGAAGGACTGGATATCTGGCCACACCATCCTATTAGCTAATGCGGAGAGGCACGCCTAGCTCAATCCTCTGCTTATCGTGATCTCAGACGACAAACAAAACGATCAGCCAGAAATGATAGATGCCACTACTGGAATGAAATGGCTACAAAAATGGAGATAGCAGCCAACCTTGTCAACACGGCGACCCTCTTCCAACTTATTCGATCAGCATCGGGAAAGAAACAGGTCACCCACTCTGTTTTGCGCAGCGCCTCCGGTAAGCACATTTCTGGTGCGCAAGGGAAAATGTCTTGGTGAGTGGAACACCTTAGTATTTTTCTCAATCGCTCTCAAATCTAACTTTCCTACGAGCCCTCCTCGCCATTTTCTCCATACAAAGCTAACTGCGCTCCGGAATCAGTGGAAGTATCAGATATCATCAGCCGCCTCAAGCCACGGAAATCGCTCGGTAAGGACGGGATACCCGCCGAAATCTAAGCAAAGTGGGCTTCGGCCATTTTAAACCCTCTTCATAGATTACTGTGTGCAATCTGGGAAACCGAAATTTGCCCAACTGACTAGACCACATCGATTTTACTACCTTTCCCTAAAAAGGGTGACAAATCAGTGTGCGAAACATACAGAAGCATCAGCTTACTTGACGTGGCCAACGTTTTTGCATAACTTTTGCTGAACCGCTTTGCTGCAACAAGGCACGCATGCAATCGTCCTAACCAGAAGGGATTCCGCCCCGGTGTGGGCCGCGTCGATCAGATATTCACTCTACGTCGACTCTTGGAATATCGCCACAAGTTTCAACAACCTACAACAGTCTGCTTCATTGATTTTCGCGAGGCATTCGATTCCGTAGATCGCGAATTCCTCTGGAACATAGTTCCGGCCGATGGTGTCAACTTAATGAGATCCTACTATTCTAACACAAGCGCCCGAATCCGCGTCTAGGGAGAGGAGTCATGCGCTTTCGGTTTAGGATCGAATCCGAAAGCTTTAAGTACTTGGGCTCAACCATACTCCCCAACGGTCAAGCTAAAGAAGAGATGCAAGTGCGCGTCGATGCTGCAAGAAAGGCATTTTTACAGCTGAAGAATCACCTTTGGCGTAGAAATGAAATCAGCCTCAAGACAGAAATCCGAGTTTTATCCGCAGCAATCCTGCCCTGCCATACGGCAGCGAAACCTAGCCACTTAGAGCCGAAGACTGTCGCAGATTAGAAGTCTTCGATCACTGGTGCTTAAGAATCATTCTGGGAGTACGATGGAGGGATCAACACTCAAATGATAAGGTCAGAAATCGGTGTTTTAATCTCGTAAAACTGCGGACGATAATTCAACGGCGGCATCTACAATGGTTTGGTCACATTCTTCATAAGTCTGACAACGACCTGACCAAAGCTGCCTTGGCACAGCCTCAGTGCCCCAACTGACGCTGTTGACACGGTGGGCAGCTGAAAACCTGGCTTGAAACGGCACGAAAGGATACTGAAAACCTTGGTTTCCGTTCCGTGTACGGCATTGGCCAATAGAAGTC